GGGAGGGACAGGCGGCTCGGGTCCCCTGCCCTCAGGGCGCACCGCCGCTCCGACCCTCTTCCCGCCTCCCCGGGAGGAGTTCATGGGCCGGGGTCCGAGCCCTGCCCCGCGGGGCGGCTGCAGTGGCGGTGCCGGGCGCGGGCGCACGTCCTAAGCCCGGTCGAGGGCCGTGTGCGGACGCTCTGGCCGCCCCAGACCGGACCGGAAGGTGCGCAGGGGTGGCGAGAGGGGAAGGGGTGCGGGAGCGGCGGCCCAGCGGCGGGGGTGTGGAGCCGGCGTCCGGACCCGCAGGTAACGGGCGGGGACCGTCTATCGGTCCGTCTGGGCGCACAGCCGGTCCCAGGGCACTCGATGACCTTCGGGGCGCCCCTGGCGGGGCTGGGCTGGGGGCGCAGAGGCGCGGCCTTGGGGGCAGGTGGGGTCCGGGGACGAGGGGCGTGGAGCCGCCGCGGGAACCGGCATTCCGGGGGCGGCGCGGGCGGACCTCGGCATCTCCAACGCCGGGGCGCGACGAGAAAGGGGAGTCTGACCGCCGGGCGCGTCCCGTGAACGGTGGTGGCGGGAGCCGGACTTAGGGGACCCAGGAGGGGCCGGAGGACGGGCGGGATGCGTGCGTGATTCGGACCGGTCCTGGCCGTCTGCCGGGCAGCCCTGAGCTGAGGTAGGAATGGCGGGAATGGTGGCAGCCCTCGAGGAATTTGGCGCAGGGCGGCCCAAGGGATCAAGGAGGGGGCCACGGGCCAGGGGAGCAGAGAGCTCTGCGTTCCGGGCACTGCCATACCGCTTTAGACTTTAATTTCCCCCACTGTACAATAGGAGGAAGGGGGAGGCCGAGAGCTCTGCGGCGGGAGAAGCGAGACAGCGAAAAGCAGGACGGGTCTCCCCACCGCCTTACCCCAGGACTGGAGTTGCCCTTGGCCTCTGGGGGATGATTAGGCCGCCCCCTTTAGCCAGCTCTCCCTCCCCACCGCGGGCAGCACCCAGGCCCGTTTCCACCCACAGGGCCTGTGCTTCCCTCTGGTTTGGAGCTCAGGCTGCCCTCCCCTGGGCCTCTGCTGTCCAGCTGCCGTGGGTTGCCAGGGTCTGCACCCTCCAGAAGACTCTCCATGTCACCTCCATGCCCAGCCAGGGCTGCCCCTGGATTTCCTGGCCCTGGGGACCTTGATGGAGAGCCCTTTGGAGCACAGTGGGCCAGGGAGGATGCTGTGGGGTCAGGGTCTGCCTCATTAGTTCTGCTGTGGCTGGTCCTGGAGGCCTTGGGTGGGCTAGGAAGGCACTGCCCTGTGGACTGGACCCCCATCTCAGGGTCTCAGCAGGTCCATGGCAGGAGCTCCTCACTGTGGCTTGTCCACTGGCAGTGGTGTCAATACCTCCTTGCTCTGCCCTTGCCCTTTGGGGTCTTCCTGGCTCTCCCGGATCCTAGTGTCCCTCGGGCCACTGCCCCTCCATCCCCATCCCTTTAGTGCAGATCAGTTTCTGGGCTAAGCTGGCTTCCTTGTTCATTGCCTCTGGAAGGCTGAGGGCAGCCCAGACACGGCTGGCAGGAGACAGGCTTTGGGGGCTTGCATGTTGCCGCCCTCATGTTGGCCTGTGAAGTGCAGGTCCCTGACCACACCCTGGTCCTGCCCCCTAGGAGTCCACAGCCTAAGAGGGCAATGGCTGGCTTCAAGGGCAACCTAATGGACTGGATATTTTGATGCCCAGACCTGTGTTCTGGTCTTGACTCACTTGCTGGTCGGCTTTGGACAAGTCACTGCCCCTGCGAATCCGTCTTCTCATCTGTAAAACCAGCAGAATGATAGAAACAATGCTTAACATTCGGGTTTGTGGTGGAGAGTAAATGAAAGGCGGGCATTGGCTGGGGGAGAGGGGCAGACCAGAGGACAGGTTGGGGTCTGTGCTTGAGCTGGGGAACCCTGGAGGGAGGCTATTAGCTTTGTGGGGTCCAGGGACACCATAAGGGATTGCTGTCAGCAGAGGGACATGTGGACTAGAGTTGGACTGGCAGCAAGCACTTGGTTTCAGGGCATCACACCCCACAAAATTCAGGGTCCAGGTAACCCTGGGCAGTGCCTGTGGTGTAGGACCACAGCCCGTGGCGGCTCTCAGCAGTTACCTGAAATCCCACAGTAGCTCTTGCTACCATTTAACCTGCCTCATTTCTGAGCCACCTTACCCCGGAGGAGCTGCAGTTGCCATCCCACCGTCTTGTGGGGTCTGTCTTGTCTGCCAAAACTCAAACTGGGCACTGGAAGATATGCACACGGGAGAGCCAAGGGAAGGATGACCAGATGGACGGCAAAGGCGTGAAGGATGGGCTGAGAAGGGGTTTTGGTGAGTGTGTCAGGGGCTGCTGAGGAGACTGCCAGAGTCAGGTGCTGAGTTGACAAAAGGGATGAGTCCCAGCTCCCAGGGAAGGGGTCTTGGCCCAGGGAAGCATTGGCGGCCACAGAAGGGAGGGGTTGCCCCGTGGTCTGGAGGTTGGAGGGAGCAGTGGGGGTGCGGTGCCTGAGGGTGGAACCCTGAAGGTCTGTACTGGGCCTACAGATGGAGGAAGGGAATTGGGGAATGGGCAGGAGCTCAGAGCCAGGATGCAGAGAGAAGCCCCAAGACACTGCTCACCTCCTGAACACAGCCTGTGAGCTCTGGGTGGTGGGAAGGGGCAGTGTGGTAGTAGAGGTCCCCAGCCCCTGCCCACAGAATCATGGAAGGGGCTGCTGCAGTGTGGAAGCATGGGATCCTGCCAGGGACAGGAGGGTCTGGATGGAGGGGAAGAGCGGCTGCCCCTCACTCCAGCCCAGGGAGGGGGGTGCCTAGGGAAGGCAAGATACTCCAGCTTTCCAGCACCCCCCAGGCCTTCTCTGACATGCCTCTGAGCCTTGCACAGGCTGTTGTCTTTTCCTGGAATCTCTCCCCTCACCTCCCTATCTTCCAAGTCCAGCCCAAATGGCCCCTTCTCTGAGAAGCCTTCCAGATTCCTCTGGATCCACACCCCCTTCTGCAGGACAGGCCTGTTTTAGAAGTTGCTGGGCAGGGGCTGGCACTGTCTTTCTGTGGTTCCCATCTCTGCTGCTGCTGCTTCTCCTGCCAGCCCAGCTGTCACCTAGAGGAAAGGCTGCCTCAGCATGCCATGGAGAGGCGGGCAGTGTCACTCTGGTGCCTCCCCTGGTGTCTGGGCTGGTGGTCTCTGCCCAGACGCCCCCAGGGCTGGTGTCAGTCTGCCCATCCATCATAGACACATTCACCTCTGGCTCCTCAGTGGCCTCTGCAAACCATGAGCTGGGCACAAGGGGCCACTGAGTGGCCGAAGGAGCAGTGGCAGAAATGTGTGGCCCCTGGCCCAACCCATAGGCCGTGCTTGAGCCAATCCAACTCACCCTCCTGCCCTCTCTCTTTAGCCTCCAGGGCTGCGCCGTCACACCTTCATCCCAGAGACCCCAGAAGCAGGTCCACCTCCCTCCTGTCCTCAATGTAGCCACCCTCTGGGGAGCCCCTGGGGCCATGGACCTGGCACTGCCCCTTCACAGGCCAGCCTTCTGCCAGGGTCCCACCCCAGGCCCACTATGGTCAGTTCTCAGGGCCATCTAGAACCGCCCTCCCCCATTCCCCTCTTCAGGCACCATAGTGCCTGTCATCCCGTTATTAGCGGGTTCATTTGAGGGAGGAGTGGGTGCCGAGTACCGTCAGGCATGCCATCTCACAGCAACCTGCTGTACACATGCGGAGCTGTGGCACATGTGGCACAGAGGGGAAGCCTCTTGCTCAGGGTTTCAGGGAATGTAGGATGGAGCAGGAGTGGGACCCACCTGAGCTCCTTCCACAGGGTGGGCACCCAGCACCCTTGTGTGAGGAGTGGCCACTTGGAGGGGTTGTCAGATGAGGTGGCCAGTGAGGGGGTGAGTGGCCACCTCAGGCTGGGAAAGGCGGGGCCTGCAGCCTCTCTGGCATCTGGCCTGGACACGTGGGGATGGGAGGGGGATTCTGGGCCCCCAGTGGGAGAAGGGAGCTGTGGCAGGCCGTGTGGGCCCTAGGGGCTGGTGATGTGGAGGCTCCTCTGGGGGCCAGGCTCAGTGCAGGGAGCTGACTCTCCGCCTTTTTCCTGCCCACATCCTGCCCCCAGGAGCTGAGAGCAGCAGCTGCACACCCGAGGGGTAGTGGGGGAGGGGGCCCCACTGGGTGCCTGCCTGCGTACTGTGGGCCCAGCCCGCACCAAGTTCCTGAAGTTGGAGCCGCTGGCAGCCCTGCAGGGAGGGAGGGAAGCGGCGCCAGCGCTCAGTGGTTGCTCACCTCCAGGCAGCACTAGAAGACACCTGCCCTGCTCCTATTGATGAGTTTGCAGAGGGGCTTGGTGGGTCCTGGGGCCCAGGGGTTCTGGGAGGCTTGTGCCCAGGCCTGGGCCACTCCAAAAGCCAGTCGTGCAGAGCCAGTGGAGGGCTTGTGGTTGGGAGCAGGAGCTGAGCTGCCTGTCCAGCTGTTTCTTCTTTGCTTGTTGCCCTCTCCTCTCCCTGACTGAGCTCCCACAAGACAGATGTCGGCACTTCTTGATTTACCTTCCATGTCTCTCCACTATCTCCTCAGAGACTTTGTCTCTTTGTGAGGTTTCTGTGAGAATTCCTATCCTCAAATCCCCAAATGTCTGCTCAACTGTGTCCATACCTGAAGCGCATCACATTGATTGTGTTCTCTATCTCAGTCTATTTTTCATTTCCAGGACTTTATATTATTTCTTGTTCATATTCGCCTGTTCTTGTTTCTGCCACTTGATTCATAAGTTCTCATTCTTGTTTATGGATGCTGTTGCTTTATCTCTTTGAAGATCCTAAATGTCTTTGAAAATCATTTTTAGATTATTACCTTCACGTCTTCTGGAATGAATTAATCTCCATATTTTGGATGCTATTGCTTATCTTTCTTAGCCTGAATTTTCCTCTTGTGCTTTAAAACTGTGGTTTACAGGCTCCTCTTAGGTGGGAGCTGAAGTTCTGGAGGCAGGGAGTGACCTGCACACCAGGGTAGCAGCTGGCTCTCAGGACAGTCTCCTGGGACACCTCCTCCTTCGAGGGCCTTGCTGTAGGCTCAGGGCCCTGCTGGGCCAGGCCAGCAGCAGGTGGCGCAGAGCTCCCTGGCACCTAGTGGGTATATGGAAACATTTGCTACCAGCAAGTAGTGGAGGATTCTCAGGCCGAGATTCTGGAACCCAGGAATGGGCCCAGCGTGGCTGCAACAGGTCTAAGTCCCTACGCTGGGCTCAGTACTTTGCCCTTAGCCACACCCAGGAGCAGGTGTGCAGGGTCCTGTCTGGAAGCTGGTGGGCACCTCCATCCAGCAGGCTCTGGGGGGTACGGCCATCTGGGCATGGGTATAGAAAGCCTTGCTAGTCTGACGTACAAGGAGCCAGAAGTGAGCCAGGAAATATGTGGGTTTTGATTAAATAGAGTTTTAATTAAAGTGGTCAGGCCGGTAGAGGTGAGGAGGAAGGCAAGAAGAGGCGGCAATTTTGGGTCTGCGTGGTGGGAATCCTATGAGGTTGTCTTTTCAAGACTTATCAGGCACATTCCTTAGCGTGTGTCTCCAGTTTGCATGGGACAGCTTCTGCCCTCTGCCCTGTCCCCAACAAGGGACAATCACAGGGAAATATTACATTATTAATATTTAATTTCCCTTCCTGGCTAGCAACAGATGACTAAAGGATTAATTAGATAGACAGAGCCAACAGAGAGGGATAGGAAATTGCCAGATCCTGGCCCCACCCCCGGCCCCCTCCCCCTGGGCCTCCCTTCCTGTCTCTCTTGGAGGCCTCTGAAGGGAGAGAAGCAGAGAGGGGCTGGGAGGCCCCAGGAAATCTTCCTGTTGCTGTGTTTTCCATGGGCATTTCCCCCTGCTCTAGTCCACCCTTTTGTGCTCACGGTAAGGCTGGGAGAGGTCATTAACCTCTTCGGGCCTTAGCTTCCTCATCTGTAAAATGGGGTTCGTGGGGCCAATGAGAACACAGATGACCCCCGACGCCCCCACGCCCTCATTTCCCAAGCTCCCAGGCCACACAGGCTATTTAACAAGGTCTGGAGTAGAGTCCTGGTGTCTAGGCAGAGAGCCCCTGGGAGAGTGTAGGATTTGGTGGCTTCTTGGTGGCTGGAGCCCGGGGGCACGGGCTCTTGTGAGCTGTGTGCGTTGACTCCCAATTCCTGTCAGTGACACATTAGTAGCTTAAAATTGGCCATAATGGGAGCATTTATACCACAAAAGTCTGGGAAAGGCCACAAGTCATGGCGCCCCCACCCCTGGGCCCATTTGCTGGCCTACAGCTGGAGAGCTCCCAACCTTCCCGCAGAACAGCTCTGCCGGCCCTGCGGTGCCGTGGGCTCTGGGCTGGGAGAGTCTGGTTTGGCATATGCTCAGGTTGCTTGTGGAGCCAGGCCAGCCTCACCCTGGGGTGTGCTGGCAACAGCTGGAAGAGCCTGTAGGAATGCTGTCGGAAGGGCAGAGGGGGAGCCGGACCTGCAAGGAGGCAGCTTTTTAGGCCCTGAGCAGCAGTGGGGGTAGGTGTGTCTTTAGCTCCTTGCAGGACTGACCTGGGCAGGAGATCTGTTGCATTCAGTGAGACTTGGGAGGGCCCCCAGGCCTGGTGGACAGCCGGAAGGCAGCTTTGGTTTAGTCAGGCAAGGGTGTTGGTATCAGGCACTGTTCAACAGGGGAGCCCACAGCACAGAAGGTGGTAGGGAGACCCTGAGGACTAGGGGTACACAGGCAGGCACCCGGGGCTGCCCGGAGAGCCACACTGAACAGAAGGCTGGGTTAGGCCCCTCGAAGGCCCTTCCACGCTGGGCATCCCAGCTCATGTGGACTCAGTCCAGCATCCAAGGCGGGTGCTGGAGTGTGACCTCCATCAGCAGGGCTCTGGGCAGTGGAGCCGGCAGCCTGGCCTCAGCTCCACAGAAATGTGGTACGTATTTGGGCTAGGTGGATCATTGCCCCCGAGCAGGGCCCTCTGAATCTGGACGATGGTCTGGGGCTGAGTCAGGCTTCTAGCCTGGGTTGGTCAGATTGGCAGAGGCTGTGGTGCCTCTCAATGCAGATTCCCCTGGAGAGGCCAATGCCGGTGTAAGAAGGATGGCCAGCGGTTGTGAGGAGGCTAGGAAGGTAGGCTGCTCACTGTGGTGGGAGGCAGGGTCCCTGGGGCTCGCTGGGCCTGACTGGACAATGGACTGCTGCTCTGCTGCTGCTGCTGGGCCTGGGAGGCTCCCAGGTGGGAGGCAGGGCTGGGTCTGTCACTTCCCTTCTGTAGAATGGGGACGAGACCCTGGATACACAGCCTCTGCAGTTGGAGAGCCCGTGGTGAACACTGCTCTGGGCTGCAGGCTGGGAGCACAGAAGGACACTCTGTGTGGCCAAGGATGGCACCAGGAAACTTGGTCTGGCCCGCCTCTGCCAGTGACATGCTTTGTGAGCAGCTGGTTGGCAAGTACGCCACATTCATGGCCCCTTGGTGCTGCCCCTGCCACAGGCTGTGGAAACCTCTCTGTTTCTCAGGGGCTTGTTCTTTCTCTCCTGCTCCCTGGTGTTTGGCGCTCCACTCCGAGCCTCCTAGTGGGCACAGAACATGCCCCTTGGGAGTGGCTGCAGCCCATGCCCACCCAGCTCCAGCCACCTGAGGCACATTAGAGTTAGAAGGAAGCTCGGGGTTCACCTACTGCAGCCCTCCATCACCTCCTGGATGGGGTGAGGGGAGCCTGGCCCTTTGAACACAGCCAAGGACCCCGAGCAACCTTCTCCCAAGTCCCGCTCGATCCCTCGTGTCCTGGAGCAGAGAGAGAGGATGCAGCCCCCTGAGCCCACGTGCGGGCAGCTGAAAGGCAGCTTGGGGCCTCTTGTCCCTGGGCAGGCGGCAGCGGCTGCCCACGTACTCCTTGGGCCCCATGAGGGCCCAGGACTGGAGGAGGGGGTGGATTTGGCATGGGGGGACGCCACTGGGAAGCACATGTGAGTGTGACAAGGTAGGGGCAGAGGTGGTAGGGAGAGGCCCCTGGGCTGGCAGTGGGGATGGAGAACATTTCACAAGCTCAAGGGGGAACCCTGGGGGTTGTGGGGAGAGACCGAGACCTCTACTTCTATTTCTGCTTCTGAGGGGTGTCAATAATTCTTTACATTTCTACGGCATTTTGACACTGGGGGAGCCCTTTCAAATCTGTTTATTTCCTTCTCAAAGAATCACGGGTGAGAGCCAAAATGCCCCCCAGAGGTTATCTGGGGTCCAGCCTTCTCACTGTATCAATGGGGAAACTGAGGCCCAGAAAGGAAAAACATTCTTGCCTGCAGTCCCTCAGCAAGTCCCAGCTGAGCCCCTTGCTATCTGCCCAGCACCAAACTGAATTCAGTCTGTCCCCGCATCAGCCAGGCAGAGGAGCAGGCTGGGAAGCGGGCGTGGGAAGAGGAAGGAGAGGGGGAGGGGAGGTGGCTGCCCCGCCCAGATGTGCAGTCAGCTGGCGGGGCTGCTGAGGGGCGGGCTCCCTTTGTGCCTCTCTGCCACCCTGTGCAGCACCACCGGCAAGGGGAAGGGGGCCTACCTGCCAGCAGTGGGAGACAGGACCACGCGGCCCCCCAGATCCTTCCAGGTGGGAGCTCTAGGGGTCTCGGCCTGCTCCTTAACTGGGCAGCATAGGTGGGTGCTGGTAGTTCCCAGGGAGAGCTCTTGGGGGATGCAGCAGACTGAGGCTGAGAGAAGGTAGGTGGGCCTGGGAGAGCCCCAGGGGTGAGGGAGCCTTTCCAGGAGGGTCAAGGAGGTGGTGGTGAGCTCAGGGACCCAGGAGACTGGCAGGGCTGTCACAGAAGGCTTGAGAAGCTGAGCATGGGGGGCTGACAAGAGTGACTTAAAAAAGAATCCCGGCTCCCCTAGAAAACACCAAAGACTGGGGCTGATTCCCAGCCCTCTGTATCCAGGGTGGGAGAGGCAAGGTACAGTGGGTCGTCCTTAGGCTGACGCCTGGCCTGCAGGGAGGGCATTGGTGAGATGGGGCTGAGGGCTGGGAATCTTCAGCTGTGCCCCCTCTGCCAGTGTCCACCTCCTCACGAGGCTTCTCCCTTGGCAGGTGCCTCAGGAACTCTGAAGCCAAGCAGAGACAAGATGCCGCGGGAGCCCCTGGAGAGGGCCTGGTTTCTGGAGACTCGGAGTTGGCTGTGAAAAAGCCTTTGGGGAGTCTCCCCCCACCAGCAGGGACGCTCTTGGCTCCTGTGAGGAAGGGGCTCAGGGGCCAGGGCAGGGCCGGCTGCGCTGCAGCTATGGACCGTGAGCTGGCCCGGCCCGCGTCCTTGCTCACCCTGCCCGCCTGCAGCCATGCCCCCCACGGATTCCTGGGTGTACATCATGGTGGAGCTGGCCATCGCTGTGCTGGCTATCCTGGGCAACGTGCTGGTGTGCTGGGCTGTGTGGCTGAACAGCAACCTGCAGAACGTCACCAACTACTTTGTGGTGTCACTGGCGGTGGCCGACATCGCTGTGGGGGTCCTTGGCATCCCCTTTGCCATCACCATCAGCATAGGGTTCTGTGCTGCCTGCCACAGCTGCCTCTTCTTCGCCTGCTTCGTCCTGGTCCTCACGCAGAGCTCCATCTTCAGCCTCCTGGCCATCGCCATTGACCGCTACATCGCCATCCGTATCCCACTCCGGTGAGCCGGTGGGGAGGGCTGGGCTGCCCCCCGTTCTCCTCCCTGGCACTCCTCACACTGCACTTCACATCTGTGAAAGGGCTGCTTGTGCCAGGGTCTGGTCTGTGCCCAGGGTCTGGGTGAGCCTGGGGTCAGGGTGATGTCTGTGGTGGGTCTGTGGTGTCAGCACGTTAAGCTGAGGACAGGGCTGTGGGGCTCAGTCTGGGGCTGCCCAGGCCTTGGCACGTGGCCGGCAATCGTGCCAATCTAGCTGATCCCCATGGGCACAGGGCACCGTGGCCCTCCCTGGACCTCTCCAGGGAAGGCTGAGCCTGCCATGCTTTGGCTGTTGGCAGACATGTGTGGCTTGGGCCTGGGCGGGTGCGTCTGGACTGTTCTTTACACAGCACGATGCTGGGACGGGGCACTGCGGGAAACCACAGGACCTCAGAGCCAGAAGCTCGCCTGCCCACCTTCCTCCAGCTCCTCTGGGCTGGCCTCGCAGTTTGCGCATTAGGAAAATGACCCAGAGAGGGGAAGTGACTTGGCCAAATGCCACAGTGAGTCACTTGGACTTGTATGCAAATTCTGTGCTCCTAAGGTCACCGAGTACTCATAGTCTTGGAGACAGCCTGTGCAGTCAGGGGGCTGGCTGGTGGACGGGGTTTTCATGGTGAATCTTTTATGAAGTGACTTCAGCCATGTATTGTGTAAATGAAAACTTTCCCTGAGGGTGAGTTTACTTAGCATGGCCTCCACCTACCAGGCTATGGATGAGGCTAGGAAGTACCTCCGTTCCCTGTGGGGGTCTGGGGGCCTTCTGCCCCGTCTCCTTGCCTCACCATCTTGGAGCTGGGTTTCACATCCTGGGTGGCTGCAGGCCCTAAGGGAAGTCTCAAAGGACTGGGGTACCCCATCCATCCGCATGGTGAATTCTCCCAAACAGGTAGGGCACCTACCTACGGAGCAGGCCCCAGCAGCCCCACGCCAGGCTGAGGGCGCCCCATCTGGAAGGAGGAGCAGGCTCAATGAGCAAATGGAAATTGAGTGTCAAACCCAAGGGGGCCCTTCAAGGTCATTTCCTCTCATCTTCTGGATGGAAAACTGAGGCTCAGAGAAAGGAGCCAGCCCTCAGGGCCACACGAGTTGGTAGCACAGCTGGGTCTGGGAACAAACGTGGCCTGCCACCCACTATGACTTCAGTCTTTGCAGAGCTGGGTCACAGGGTGGCCCCAGTCTCCGAGACCTGTCACCTGGGCTCAAAGGGGGAAGTAGGCACCCTCATCATGCTGCTCAGATGAAGGAGAGGAGCCCTGTAGGAGCTCTGCATCGTGGGAGAGCCTAGGACCCTTGTCAAAAGAGAAGGGGACTCTGGCCGGCCCTAATAAAGGATGAGCCTAAGTGGGCAGAGCAGAGTCTAGAGTCCAGGCTCATCAAGGGACAGCTCAGAACATGGAAGCCTGTCTGTGGGCTCCCTGGTGGACCAGAGAGCAAAGGATTGGTATCCACTTCAGGGGCCTGGCTGAGCATGGGCTGGGCCCGGGCTGGCCCTGGTGGGAATATTCAGAGGGGAGGCAGAGGCCTTGCTTTCACTTTCTTCCCTGATTCAAAGGGCAACAGCAATTCTAGGGAGAGAGCAGGGCAGCTGGTCTCAGCTGAAAGGGCCTCGGCTTCCTTTTCTTGTCTCTGTTTTCTCAGCGTCAAAAGAATGACTCCCTGATGTAGAAGGATGGGACATGCTGTGTGACCAGGGAAAGTCAGCTGCCCCTCTCTGGGCCCATTTCCTCATATATAAAATGGGAAAGGCCTCTCTGTCCCTCTGAGCTCACAGAGGTGTGGTGAGCGTCCAGTGAGTGGATGGGAGTGACGGGGCCCTGAGGAGGGCCGGCAGGGTGGGGTGGGTGGGGATTCAGCTCTTTCTTGAGCTGCTGGAGGTTCAGAGCCAGGCCCCTTGATGGACCAAGGCACCCCCCGCCCCCCATCTATATCCCAGACTCCCATGATCTTCCAGAGCGAGACCTAGATCCACCCAGACCTTGGCCATTTGCGCTCCGCTTGCTAAGGCTTTGGAAGGCTCAGCCTGGATCTCGGATATGGGGGCTGATGGGGATGACGACGATGATTGCTGCTCATCCTCTCCCTCGGGCAGAGAGCTTCACAGTTGCCAAAGGATGTTAGGGCAGTGTCTCCTTTGATCGTCACAGCCTGCCCGGCACTCTGGCCAGGGCAGATGTTATGACCTTTGTGTTACTCATGAGGAGGCCAGAGCCGGAGAAAGAAAAGTGTCTCCTGACGCAGATGGACTCCAGGGCCCCGCACACTGTTCTAGATTCCCTCGGGTCCCTCTACTTTCCTATTCCTTAAGAGCCCTGGGCTGGCGAGGGCCAGGAAGGACGAGGCGCATGAGGTGTCTGTGGGGCCTCCTGAGAGCAAGCTGTGCACCAGGGGGAACTAGAGGAGGCAAATGAGAACCAGAGCTCCTGGCAGCTCTGGGGCCCCGCCCCTCCCCCGTCCCCTTCCAGCTGGGGATCCAGCCTCCTCTACATGCCCTTTCCACTCCACTCAGTAGGTCCATTTGGCTACTCTGAGGTCTAGTCTCTGACCAATGCCCTGCACGCCTAGCCCCAGGCCTGCACCACTCACCATTTTTTTTTTTTAAATAATTCAGTTTTGGAAAACTCTATGTGCTCCTTCCCAAGTGCAGGGACCCTGGTGTGGGGCAGGGCCTGGCCAGGAGCTGGTGAGAAAGAAGCCTAGTCAGAGGCGGAGATGGGGCTCCTGGCGTCCCCAGACGAGGGCAAACCCAGGGCAAGAAACAAAGGCTTTCTTTTCCCAGGGGACTTTTGCACCATTGTCTCCTGTCTCTCACGTTAGCCCCTGGTGGGCGCTCTCTCTCCTCGGGAAACAGGCCGAGTATCAGGCAGCAGTTGGTGCAAAGGCCTAAAGTCGTATGTGGTAAATTGCTCTGTGGGGACAAAACCTGAGTGCCCTGCCTTCTAAGGAGGGCAAGATGGGGAGAGAGGGCTCCCTGGAGGAGGTGACACTGGATTGGTCTTACAAGATGTGTGTGGGGGGGCAGGTGTACAGGAAGGGACCAAGCCTGGGCAAAGGCCTCAAGGAAGAGCATGGGGGCTCTGGGCCAGGGAGAGGTGACAGAGGGAGATGAACACGTGGGCAGGGAGTGTGTGAGGCTGGCTCAGGCCTGCCTGCCCGAGCCTGGGAGTTTGGGTTTCACTCGTGGGTCAGTGGCTCTTTAATTCTTGGATCACTGGCTCCTTTGACAACTCTGCCTTCTCCTCAGTGTAGGACAAATGCACATGAAGCCCCACCTAGAATTGTGGGGGTGTTCTTGGATCACAGGGTAAGTCCCCAACATGGAAGAGGCAGCCTGAGCCTGTGAGCTGGAGGACACAGGGATGCAGGGGCACCTCCGAATGCAGCACCTGCTTCCTATGACACCTCTGGGCTCCCTGGAATGGCAGAGTGTGGTGCTGGACGGCCTTGGCACCCCTGTCACTGGACAGTCTACATCTGGGGCCCAGGAGACCAAGCTATGTCTGTCTTAGTCACTGACGCAGCCTAGGGGATGCTGCTGGGCCAGGGTGTGGCTCAGCTGTGGTTCCATTTGAGCCCTAAAGCTATTCCAGCCCCCCGGAGGACTGGGTCCAGGGCTCTCAGCCTAAGGGGCTTTCTTTTGAATAACAAAATTAATCTGTTTTTTTTTTAAATAAGTAATTCCCGCACATACATCAAAAAAGAACAAAAGGGTATACGGTGTAAAATTGTCCCCCTTGGGGCCGGCCCCGTGGCTTAGTGGTTGAGTGAGTGCGCTCCGCTGCTGGCGGCCCGGGTTCGGATCCCTGGCACGCACCTTTGCACAGCTTCTCCGGCCATGCTGAGGCCGCGTCCCACGTACAGCAACTAGAAGGATGTGCAGCTATGACATACAACTATCTACTGGGGCTTTAGGGGAAAAAAATAAATAAATAAATAAATAAAATTATAAAAAAAAAAAAAAAATTGTCCCCCTTGCCCCCTGCCCCACCTCCAGTTCCCTTCCTGAAAGGCAGTGTTGGGAATCCTTCCAGAGATATTCTTTGCACACATAGGCAAGTGCTGTTAATGTGTGTTTGTTTCTGTGTCCACATGGGGCTGTCTTTTCAGAATGCAGTGGCGGACTTCCCCTCCTGGGTTTCCTTGTCTGTAAAAGTAGACAATTGGACAGGCCAGAGATTTTCAGACCATATCCCCAGAAGCCTTCGGGTGGCCAGGCCCTGATGTCCCCACTACCTCATTCATTCAGTGAATATCATTCAGCCCCTCTCTTTCCCCACACCTCCACTTCCAGATTGCCTGGAAATGCGGGTGGGAGGGGCTGCTGCTGGAGGACAACTGGAAAATCCCCAAAGCAGGTGGCCTCCAGTGTCTGCTATACACTGGATATATACAGTCCCTATAGCTGCTTGCTTCTGCTTGATTGCCTCAAATGACAGGAAGCTCACTACTACCTGAGGCAGCCCATTTCTCCTGGAACAGCTCAGCTGAGCTCTTACTTACCCTGAGCCACGATCGCCTCCCTGTAATTTCCACCCACTGATTCTGCATTCTGCCCTCATGGAGCAGTGCTCACAGTCCCCGGATTCTTAGTCCCATTTTACAAATGAGGAAACTGAGGTTCAGAGAGGCAGAGTGACAGAGCATGGCTAAAAAGGAACACACCAGCACTAGAACCCAGGAAGGGATGTACTTTTCTCAGGAAAAATATCAACATTAAAACAGCCTCCCATTCAATGAGATTATATAAATTACTATTTGTAGAGTACTAAAAACAGGGTGGGCACAGAGCAAGCACTATGTAAGTATTAAATGAAAGGGGGAAAAAAAAAAAAAAAGCCTGTGACTTTGCATTTGAGGCTCCAGAACAGGCAAACAGGGCAGTGCGGGCTCTCTATGGCTTGGTAGAAATGAGTGAGTCCATGACCCTCTTCCTGCCCGGCGCTGTTGCAGGCACCCAAGCCACCACTGAGTGGGGCCGCGGAGCTCCTGGGAATGGCCCACCCGGTTACTGTTTGGATTTAGAATTGACAGAGATTCAGAACTGACAAACTTACCTTGGCCCAAGTTGCCTCTGGGCTCCTGGAACATCCACAGCAGGTCTGTTCCTCTCCTTGGGCCTCAGTTTCTCCACCTATAAAACGAGGGGGTTAGACTAGATTAGGGGTCAGAGGCCACAGGTTTTTTGTTGTTGTTGTTTTCTTAATTTGAATTAGTTGACAAAATTTAAACCGTGGGAGATTTTACTGAGAAAATCAGCTCCCCAGCCCCTGCTGAGGTCCAGCAATGCTGGGTGCACATTTTGCATGGAGGCCAGGGGCTGAGCAGCATCAGCTGCCTCCTGCACAGAGGAAATGCCCTGCCAACCTGCCTCACACATTTGTCACCTGTAGGCCCCTGTGTTTGTCACCCATGGACTATATCGTTTCTATGGATGCTTCCAATTCTAGAATTAAGTAAAGCATATTTTTTCTTGGCATCTACTGTGTGTCCCTGTCTCAGTGCTGGCAATGCAAAGAGGGATGCAGGAAAGCCCTGCCCCCAAGCGGCCCCAAGTCAAGTGGGGAAGGAAGCGCATGGAGCACAAGACACATGAATCGCCGACAGGTCTGATCTGGCTGGTTCTGCCCCCAGCCAATGAGTCCACCCTCCTGACCCATCCCCACTCTGAAGGGAAACCTGTTCTAGCATCAACTAAGAGCAACATGGAGGTGGTAACTTCTTCCCCCCTGAAAAAAAAATCACTTATGAATTCCCTCAACCAAACTAATTAAGTTCCAGGACTACTGGTAATACTATTCAATAATCGTCTGAATGTCTGTGCAGTGGTTCCCCTTTCCAGGGTGCCGGCTCTCCCATCACCTCCTGTGAGAAAAGGCAAGGCTTGGACCTGCACTGAACAGAAGAGGATGCTGAGGCTAGGAGGCAGGGAGCGGCTGGTCCAGGACCTTACCCCCAGTGACAGGGGGATCAGGGTGCCACTCTGGGTTTCTTACCCTGGGCCCTGCCTAGCCCTTTTTTCTCAGGCCTCTGATGCTGGTCTCGTCTCCCCAGGTACAATGGCTTGGTGACCGGCATGAGGGCCAAGGGCATCATTGCGGTCTGCTGGGTGCTGTCGTTTGCCATCGGCCTGACGCCCATGCTGGGCTGGAACAACTGCCGTCAGCAGAGGGAGGGCAAGAACCACTCGAAGGACTGCGGGGAGGGCCAGGTGGCCTGTCTGTTTGAGGATGTGGTCCCCATGAACTACATGGTGTACTACAACTTCTTCGCTTGTGTTCTGCTGCCCCTGCTGCTCATGCTGGGTGTCTACTTGCGCATCTTCCTGGCGGCCCGGCGACAGCTGAAGCAGATGGAGAGCCATCCTCTGCCAGGCGAGCGGGCTCGGTCCACGCTGCAGAAGGAGGTCCATGCTGCCAAGTCGCTGGCCATCATTGTGGGGCTTTTCGCCCTCTGCTGGCTGCCCCTGCACATCATCAACTGCTTCACCTTCTTCTGCCCTGAGTGGGACCATGCCCCCTCCTGGCTCATGTACCTGACCATCATCCTCTCCCACACCAATTCCGTTGTGAATCCCTTCATCTACGCCTACCGCATCCGCGAGTTCCGCCAGACCTTCCACAAGATCATTCGCAGTCACATCCTGAGGCAGCAGGAGCCCTTCAAGGCAGGTGGCACCAGTGCCCGTGCCTTGGCAGCTCAGGGCAGTGATGGAGAGCAGGTCAGCCTCCGCCTCAACGGCCACCCTTCTGGGGTGTGGGCCAACGGCAGCGCCCCCCATCCTGAGCGGCGGCCCAATGGCTATGCCCTGGGGCTGGTGAGTGGAGGGAGTGCCCACAAGTCCCATGGAGACACGGGCCTCCCAGACGTGGAACTCCTCAGCCACGAGCTCAAGGGGGTGTGCCCAGAGTCCCCTGGCCTTGAGGGCCCCCTGGCCCAGGATGAAGCAGGAGTGTCCTGATGACCCATTGAGTTTGCCCCTTCCTAAGGGAAGGAAATCTTTCTCTTTCTGGTTGGAGGAACCCGTCACATTGGGAGATGAGTGCGTGTGCCAGGAGATTCTTCCTGCGGCCAGTTCCCACTTTGGACTGAGAGGAGGGAGCCCCAGCTGGAGCAGCATGAGGGCCAGCAGGAAAGGTCTGGAGTCCGAGGAAGTGGATGTTTCATGTTGGGAGGTCCTGCACAAGGCCAGGGCCACGGCACCAGAGCATCTTGGCTGGAGAGGGCCTGGTCCCCCACTCTGGAAGCATGTAGAAGTGCCACCTTGTCTCTGCAGAGCAGCTGTGGCAGAGCAGACTGGCTGGCCCTAAGGCTGGGAAAGGGCTCCAACAGGCACCCTGCCACACACACACCACCCTCCCCAGACTTTCCGAGGTTCTGGAGCCGCTGTGCACGGAGGTGGGATTTGACTGTTTTTTCCCCAGGAGAAAATGTAAGCGTGAGGAAATCCTTTTTATTTTATTATCTTCCCTCCCTGGCTGCTGGGTCTGTTGTTGGTCCTGCTGCTAACCTGGCACCAGGAGTTGGCCCAGGGAGGCCCAGGCAGTCCTCTCTGGCTGCCATGAGCTGCCATACACTTCTCATCCGTCAGTCCCGAGCCCATCTCTTGGGGTGACAAAGCTGGGCTTGGGGACAGGGAGTTGTAATAGAGTGGTGCCAGAGCGTGGGCTCAGGGGAGGAGTTCGGGGCTGGCCAGCATGGGGTGTGCCTGGGTAGCTCAGAGCTGCCCATGTAGAGGCCCTATCTAACTGCCTTTCCTTCTGTAGAGAATGTTTTTTTCTGAGATAAAATAAAAATGAGCCATGTTGTGTTTTAAGCTTGTCCAGCGAGAGTGGTGTCTGAATTCCTTTCCCTACTCCATAGCCAGGCCTGGCACACATATATAGGTGTGTGTGGCAGGTGTGAGAGAGTGTGTGCATATGTGCAGGCAGACAGACAGACACCCTGCCTGCCCGGGGTGGGGGGCCTCCCCAGGCTCCCATCCTCCAAGAGGACAGGCTGCCTGGTTGCACCAGAATCTAAATGCCCACTCACAGCCCCAGACCTGCGTTCCTGTGCAAAGGGGCTGTGGGAGGAGGGGCTCGTTCCCCTGCCACTTTCCCTCCAGAGGCCCTGACCCCTGCAGCCCTAGGCATTCCCTTAGTGTGGGGACCAGCCTCCTCCCTCCCTCCTGAACTTCCTACTGTCCTCGGAGGAAGATCTCTTTGTATATTACCTTCTCAGAGTTGTGCCCCACCCTCCCCATCTACCTGCTCCACCCCTCAGCTGAGAGACCACAGAAGGATCTAGAAACAGATGGGTGAGGGGGTTAAACTGCCTTCCCCTGGAGTTACCCACCTCCTACTCCCAACAAGAAACCTGCAAGGAAGGGAGTTTCCTGCTCTGATGCCTGCCCCTGGGCCCCTGCCTGAGGAGGTGGTGCCATCCTCTGTGATGGACAAGTGTTTGAGGCCCAGGGGGAAGGCAGCAACCTGCTCCAGTCTGAGGGCCAGTCTGGTCTCAAGTCTCGAAGGGACACTCAGGCAGGGCTGGGGCAGAGTGTTAGAACTTTGTGAGCCCCATTGTACAGATGACTAAACAACAGAGAGACTAAACAACCTCTCTTGAACAGAGAGGTTAAATATTTGCCCCAGGTCACACAGCTAGTAAGTGAGAGAAGTCAACTTAAAACCCAGGTCTCTCTCATTGCAACATCTACGATCTTTTTTTTCCCCTATGGTGAACTATTTCAACCAACCTGAAAAGTATAGAACAATACCATGTTCCCACCACTGTGCTCAAGAAATGAAACATTACAACCACAGGGGAAATATCTGACCCCTCCCCATGTTATTACCCTGCTTCCTTCACCTAGAAACAACCACTTTCCTGGATTTCATTTTGTTCCATGACTTTTTACTTTTTACTTTTTTTTCCATCTTTATACTTTTACTGCATAGATGCAAATGTGAGCATCCCCAAACCAACACAGATTTGTTTCAGCTATATTTTACTGTTACATCAGCCAGAGGTCTTCTAGACGGGCTGCACAGAAGAGACACCTAGGACGCTTTGGAAAGCACCGAAGCCTGCGCCCTTGCCCCAGGGACCCTGGGTGGACCCAGGTAGCAGTAATCCCCCAGGGTTCTTAACGGACAGCCGGCCAGGGCTGAGAACCTCTGAAATAAATGCCCAGCCCACCCCTGTCCACACCAGCTTGCTCCTCCCTCCTGCACACTCTGGTCGGTGCCGGCCGTGGGCTGAGGGCAGAATGGTGGCCTGGGCTGTGCTGAGGAGGCCAAGAACACAAATGCTGTTAGTCCTCATGGCCAGTTGTGGGGAGAGGCCAGAAAGAGAACCACAAAGGTAGGGAAGGAAGAAACATCCTCCAGCTTTTTCTGAGGCCTCTTGGGAGCCAAGCTTTGGGTGCTGGGCTTCATGTGTACAGGCTTTGGGGTTGAGGGACAGGGAGCCCCAAGCCCTCTTAGGGCCAGCCCTTAGGCTGGCTCTGGAGCCCAGGCCAACGTGACCATGCCTCCTCAGGTCTCCAGGGGGCCCAGCGTCCCATCTCCACCCCCACCCCATGCAGGCTCCCACTGTGATCCAGGCCTTGAGTGTAAGGCCACATACATAGACATGGACAGGTCATGTGTCACTCCCTGACCATAAGGGGCCAAGTCCACCTCAGCAGGAGAAGGTGCCCAAAGAAGCAGCATCAGGGAGATGTGAAAACTGGCCCGGCCCCATGGGCACAGACACACGCATTCCCGGGCCAGGCTGCAGCGGACACCACCAGGGCTGCTCCAAGCCCTACAGCTCTGTCTAAGGGCCCCTCTGCCCTCACCTTGCTCTTTCCAAAGGGCTGGGGGTAGATGGCATGCCTCATGCAGGTCTGTCCTGAGCATGAGGGTCCCCTTACAGAACCTGTCCTGGTGGCCCCAGCCCCTCTCCAGGGAGGCCTGTGAGCAGAGCCCTGGCTCAGGCTGGGTCCTGGCTCATCACTAGCCCTCATGAGAGACAGGACCTTTGCACGGCTCCCTTTTCCCCTCTTCCAGTCACCACCCCTCTTGAAACTCTACTTTTAGGCTCTCCCCATTTGCATTACGGCCCTTTCCTCTGGGAGGCCTCACACAAAACACTTTAGGCTCCTGGAAGCCTGCTTGGGGAGCAGGGTAGAGCCTCAGTCCTGTGCGTCCTGACCAGGGGACAAGCTCTGGGGACAAACGTGGCAGGGCAGGGATGAGGGGCAGCCTGGGGAATAAGAGGAAATGAGATGCTGACACCTCTGAATCTACCCGGCTGGGACTCAGCATCCCAGAGGCGGAATGCTGGCCTTCTTTTCAACTGTGGTGGGGAAACAGGAACGTGGGGGCTCATGGAAGCCAACTGCTCAGGGAGTGGGAATAGTTCTTTGCAGCCTGCCCCCACGTCTGGGACCGGAAAGGTGTGTCAGGATGGCACTCTGTGCCTGGAATGCTCCTATCCTGTCATGCCATGCAGTCCCCTGGCATGGTTGCTCCTGTGGGTTCTCGCCATGGTGGGCACTCTTCCCCTGAGCTCCTGTGCTGGGCCCAAGTGCTGCCTGAGCATGCTAGGTGCCACCTCTCTGCTGATGGGAGAGGTTACATTACAGGGGAAAGAACGCGGGGAGACCTGACGTCTGCTGTGAGGCAAGTCACTCCCTCCCAGGCCCTCATCTACTCTGAGGGGTGGAGTGCTCTTTAAGAGTGTCAGATTACCACCTCTCCCTCCACTCCACACCTATCCCTCCTCTGTCCTGAGGTGCCCCTCACTGCAACTGACACTCATCATTAGCGGTAACTGTCACTGTGGGGACAGCCAGTCAGGCTGCAGAGCTGGGGAGGGGGCTGGAGAATGTGAGATGACTCACGCAGCCTCAAAGGAGAGGGATGGACACAGAACACAGAGCCTAGGTGCGGGAGGCAGCTTTCTAGATGCCCTGCCCCGACTCTTTCTTTTGCCAGAGAAAGAGCACCTCAGCAGAACTTCCAGACAAGCCCCCTGTCCTCCCGTGAGTCAGGCTTGGAGAGGGGCTTGCCATGGGGAGAGGCCAGGCCAGAGCATCAGCATCACAAGGCTAGGCAGGTGACAGGTGTGACTGACCCAGTGTCCTCTGAGGGAGGGATTTTTTTCCCGCCAGTGGGAAAGGCTTTGCATGGAACCATCCACACCTCTTTGCCTGGCCCAGGGAAGCGTTTGTGTGTGTGTGTGTGTGTGTGTGTGTGTGTGACTTTGCAGGACCAGCCATCTGGACTGGCCCCTCACAACTAGTAAGCTCTCAGAGAGAGCTCGGTCAGGATGGAGCAGGCTAGAACTTGAGCCCCTTCTCCTGACTCTCTGTCTTCTCTCAACCACTTACTGAGCACCTGCTGATGAATGCTGAGCCTCAGGCGGCAGGGGGCACAGGGAGCCAACAAGCAACTGAGGAAAATAAGCCAGGTGCAGCCTGTCGGGGCAGCAGGAGGTGAGGGCCGTGAGTGGGATACAGGCTCTGGGAGGTCAGAGGAGGATCAGGTCTCAGACAAGTGGGGAATGAAGTCAAGTTAGTCTCACAAAGGCCAGCGGTCAACTCCGGGGCCCATCCCTTCAAGGTGTTTTTTAGGAGACACCAATGAGAAGGAGCTGAGTAAATGTGCACCTGATTTGCATCTGCCTACACAGAATTATGCCATCCATTTGCAGGCAATTTTCAAGTTAAAATGTTGTCAGAGGGTTGTCACAGTTTTGATCTTTCTTTTCTGTTCTTTCTCAATCCACCCACATTTTCTAGTTGGGCTGGAAAGGGGAGTGAGGGGGATAGAGCCTGGTTTAGATTCAGAGATTTTTGGTATTGTTAAAGTTAGATGGGATTTTTAAAAATTATCTAGTTTTCTCTTAGGAAAATTCAGGCCCAGAGCCGAATGTCACAACCGTTCTACAGAACTTTTAGAGACTGGGCCGGGCACTCTGCAGTCATCCACAGACTATCTACCGGGTTTCAGCTTGATTCTCTTTTCTGCCTAGTCTAGAGATGTCCAAGAATCCCACCGCTCACTCTTTCCAACCGCCACCCTGCGTCGCTGAGCTCTGAATGGGGAGTCGGCACCAAGCTCAAACCCTGGCCTTGCCACTGACTTCTTCTCTGACTGTGGGCAAGTCACTCTGAGCTGCCATGCCTGCTTTTAGATAAAATAGGGTAGTAAATGTGAAAGTGCTTTGGAAGGTTTTGTAACATAAATGCCCAGGATTATCATTAGTGCAATAACAAAGCCATTCTCGGTTCAGAATACACAAGAGGGCAAGCCATCATAGCTCCGGGGTTCAGAGAGTGGAAAGGAGGCTGGAAGGGAAGAAAGACAGAAGGGGAAAAGAGGGCTGCTCACCTGGTTTCTATATTCTGTTCACTGACATTGCCCAGCCATGGCCAGATAAAGAAGCGTGGTGGGTGTGAATTTAAACCAGGCACCTGGAAGCCTCTGGTGTCAGTGGGGCTGGGAGGTGAGTGTGGGAACTGGCAGACAACTTAGGCAAGGGGCTAAGAATCATTTGCTGTCTTCAGCCCCATCCTGTCCCGTATGTTTATGCAAGTCTCGAATCCAGAGCAGTTGGGGCTTATCAGAGGTGAACAGAGAAGGGGGCTAGTAAATGTCTGGGCTGACAGAATCAGGATTCAAAATGACCTCAGGAGGCCAGACAGACAAAACCGAGCAAAGATCAGTGTGAAGTCCTGCACTGAGTTTGAAAAAGCAAATATGCAGGAAGAAGACATCCGTTCATGAAAAAACAATGTCGACATTTCAGCGGCTAACTTCAGCATTGGGTAACTCCATGGGAAATGCCAGAAAA